TATATATCCTCTGGTTCCATATGGTGTTTTGCTGATTTGGCTTTCAGCTGACCCGTTAGTTGGCTCAATTGCCACCCAGTACATCCAGCATCGTGATGAACACGATAGAACTGCTCGTCTTTGGACTAAACGCTACGCTACCTAAGGCGTGAAACCTTAGGTAACGTCCGTCTCCGGTTTCTAAGTGCTCTACGAGATGTACGGCGCAAGCGGAAAGGCTATCGAGCCATGGCCGGGCAACGCAAAGTGATGGAAGGAAGAAGAACACATTGTAATGGATGAAAAATATCCACCGCATTCTGCGCATTCTGTGCATCAGTTGCTGATGATGGTATACATATATAACGAATCTGTACAGCTGACAACTAAGTTTGGCAACTTGCTTTCGAGTTTTAGGAAAAAGAACTTCGCCGTTCTAATGCTGATTGCCGACTGATGCTCGTGCTAGGCGAACGAGGTGTAGAAAGTTAGAGTGGATGGGAAAAGGTAAGCTGAGGATGGGATAATAGAATGTGTATGTGTTATGAAACCGTGGTAATAGTAGTACCTTCCTCGTCTTGCTCTTTGAGCACTTCACGTCCAGCAATGAAAGATCAATTTTGGTTACGTAATAACCTACGGTTGAACGACAGGCTTATACAAAAAGTGTCTGACTGGGTAATATGAATGTAGCTCTTCAAAATAAGTGGAGGAACGAATCTTCTAGCAGTGGTGTGAAAGAAGTGTAATCAAATAGACAAATAACCGAAGGAGGCAGCCGTACACAAATTGTCCTCAAACTATATATAATGCGAGGGTAGGGGAATTAATGTAGAGGCATCGCCAGGATAGCAGTGGTCAATTATAATACATTATAATATAGTTAATATTATTGGAGCTAGACAATTACTGCTGCTACTGTTACTAAAGGAAAGCAAGATGATTGTACCTACTAATGAATGAATAAATGGCTGCCTAATCATCATAAGTCAGTAATGACAATGATGTTGAGTGTGACTAGCGATTGATATACTTTTGCTAATAAGCTACTTGGTCAGGCAGAAAAGAAAGTAATCAGGATACGAAGAGGGCAACATAAGTAAGAACTGAATGAAACGAAAGAAGGAAAATAGAAAATCGGCGTCAGGGGAAGACATGCTTAGACAACAGTTTACGGTGGCACAAATAACTGATATCGATAAATAGACACGAAACGAGTACATATTGAGGACGACACAAAGACAGAGAAAGAAATCGAGGTATTATATCGTTGTTCTCGGTAAAGCCATGTAACATAACAGTAGCAGCAGAAGTCATAGTAAGGTGTATACCCATTATATATATATATATATATATAATACATATATATATATATATTTCAAATCTACGCAGATATATACCTACGTTCGCAGCATATGAGAAAGAGTTGGTAGGAGAGGCAATGGAACTGTCAGGAAGCCTTGTACACTGAATAAATAAAATTACATACAAAAGGCTAAGAAAGAAAGAGCGAAAGTTAAAGCTAGAAAGTGACTAAGCGTGCATAATGTCAAATAAACGAGTAGAGCGAAGCTTTACGGGTGGGTAATACACAATAAGTGCCGAGGGAGTCCGGCAATTCGTCCTCTTGACCAACATACATACTCGTATATATGTGGTGGACATTTAGGATAGGCTTATATTAATAAAAAAGCAAACGGATCATTTATGATATAGGAGTACGAATAAGAACAGAGTATAGCTGATCGGGGCATTTTAGCATGATAATAATCATGATGATGATAATTATATTGGGAATAATTACATATTCTCATTATGTAGCATAATACTATCAATCGTCATCAAGCAATGTGGAATTCAGAATAACGTCGGCGGTAATATTGACGAGATTGTGACAAATATAGTTATAAATTAAGGAAATCAGGCTGCAGGAAACTGAATGTAATATACAGAGAGGCGAGCAGTGAGTTCATAGTTCGTTGAAAATTCCAACAACATAAATAAATTCGAATAACAGGAATATTTATATTAAGCACATAATACCATGCAAATATTTCGTGTAGTTATGGCTTGGTCATTATGATCTTAATGAATTAATGTCACTAAATGCAAATAATAGCATATTTGAACTCACTGGACTTGAACACATTGTAAACAACAACAATAATTATAACAATAACCGTACATCGTGCTGCGCTGCTATTTGGTCGAAGTTGCGAGTGCAGGAACGAAAAACCACTAGAGCCTTTCCACATTGCGGTTTAACGTGATTATATATATTAAATGAATGCCGTTATTTTGGTGGCGCGCGTCTCAGTGAGAGATAGCACATAATAAGCCACTCAATTGAAAATATTTGAAAATTTCGGAAAAAGTTTTGTAACAGTACGGCGTGCCGAAACGATATATAAGTAAGTAGCATGTTGTATATAGCGAATGGTGAAATAGAGAAGAAATGCTGAGAAAAATATAATATTCAACGAACACGAAACTAATGTAATAATCGAAGGACATGTTGGACGGACACTTAAACCTTAGCATCATTATGACACACTAGACAAGCCGAAAACATGGAGTCTTATTTATGATGCGGTGTCCGTGTGCGCATTGAATAAATGACGCAGGTCGCTTGTGCGTGAGTAAGGAACGTCTGTGGTTTATATATATATGTAACCATTAAAAATGGAAAGAGCACTTACCCGTCGATAGGTTTTACTGATAATGACGACGACAAAATAGAAAACGAAGTACTATTAAGCAACATGAAGCACAATGAAAATAACCTGAACAATATACATACGAAGCGCAGTCGCCATTATAGAAAGACAAACAGCAAGCGGTCCTTCCGTTTTAGCAGAACATCCCTAATTAATAATAAAAATAAACAAAATGAAAATTGCACCTATACCGTTGCAAGAAACATAAAAATAAGGCTTGAGAACCCATATGAGAGAAACGGTAATAACAACAAACATTTACTAGAGGAATTATAAAAAATAATTATATATTATAGAATGTAATTAATTGTAACTCGAGTATGTAGTTGCCCCGTGTACTTCACTGGGATGATGATAGAATCATGTACATTGCTCCTTATTACAACATAATTATCTTGATTAATAATGATAATAATGTCGATGCAACAAAATGAGACAATAAAGGATTATAATAAACACACTACCATGACAGTCAGAATAATCAATTTTTATTATCTATTTAATTACTTACGGTGAGGAAATATAAAATACTCGTGGCTCGTTACTAAATTTCATTTCTGATTCAACATCACTTTTGATTGGTAAACTGCTTGCACACTGTGAGTAAAAAAGAAAAACTGCAATGGCATCAAGATTTTTGTTGACACATAAGTTGATTAAAATACCCCGATTTTTTAAAAATTTTATCTGCTTAACGGATATTTTGTATATTACTGTTATTATTATTAAGAGTAACTATTATATAAGAGTATTATTGAAAGTAGGGAGTAAGAAGAGTATGCAGCTTAATGTCATTAACTTATTTAGGTAGGAAATGAGACTTAGACTGAGGTTGAAAAAACAGAATGAAGTAATGCATTTCACTACACAACATTTTTGCAAGTATGACTAGTACTACTGTGTCGAAAAAAAGCATCCAGAATTGAATTTGCAACTACTGCACGTGCCTCAATTATCCCAATCCTAGTTCTCTCCTTAGAAATAATCCTCGTCGAATTCAATGCGCGTCTGCAACCGTTTTTCTAATCCTTCATTATAGAAGTACACATAATTCTTGCCCTTTTTTTTGGGTTTGAACACCGGTCAGGCGGCCGACACGAGATTCTTCGGATGAAATGTCTAACTCACCTGCGAGAATCTCCACGTAAGTTGTTTTTAGATTTTCAGCCGTGGCGGTTATGACAGGTTATCCAAGACGAGGGCTCTTCCTAGTGATCCTTCGTGTTCCTACCACCAGTAGACACGACACAAATTAATAGCCTAACTTCCAAAACCCTTATGCAACCTTGCGAGCTTCCTGCGAGTTTTCTGGAAAACCTACACATGACAAAAGTATACGTTCGAATGTTTCTAAATTTGGTTTATGGACAGCAATCAGGCCAGCGACTGTGATGCGACGAGTGCGGCTATGGGCTTAAAATCTGCAAAGCACGCTCAGTTTTGCAGATTCTGTTGTCACAGTAAAGATTGCAATTAGATGTGGTAGCAAATTAATGAAGGTGTTATACGAAGAACTTTGAAATTTTGATATTTAACTTTTGGTATAAAGCGATTCTAGGAATCAAATTTTGACTGGTAAATATTCCATACCCACAAAACTTTGAAAATCGGTTGAGTATACTCTAGATGAGTTAAAAAGAAAGAACACCTGTTAACCCTGGAAGTTAACGCTTCGTAAGCACACTTTTGTCCCTCGAAGGCCAGAGCGCTAGGGAAATCCATTGAGGAATGGTGACATTCGGCAAAGAAGTTAAGTGAAAACACAGTACGTGAATGGTCTAAACATTTCAAGAACGGAAACTGGCCTGCTGAATACTATTGAGCATTTGACTAGATTCCGGGACTCGAAAGACAACCTATTGTGGCAATTATGGAGGCTTTCACAAAAGAGTTGGGAGTCTTGTTAGCGAAAACTGGTATCCAACATGTAACGCGTCACAGAGCTAAAACTCGAGAGCGTGAAAATTAAGTAAACGGTGGATCTCCCGTGAACTGGTTTCAGGCCAGTGGAAAATTAAAAATATGTTAGTTGAGAAATAAGTGAAGGTGGAGAGTGACGGCGAATGCACATTAAGTTAATCTTTTTCTAGATTTTAACAGAAACGCTGTAGTTTTAATTAGATGAGAAACCGATAATACTAATATGTATATGTATAAAAGTGAGCTGTAGTTAAAAAAAGTTTCTTCGTCATAAAACAATTGATATAATGGGGGTACATTAAATACTGTGAGGTTGTCAGATATGAGAAAGAATATTCAACAGAAAAAGAATAATGTAACAGCATAAAAACAATTGGTTGCTAAAGACAATTGTGTGTGTGTATAAATATAAATACACAAGTGCGAAGATTATCGAAGGTCTAAAAGAACCTTTCTTTAAAGCTCTTTAGAACGGCTTTTGTGACCTTCTCAATGTGCGATCTAACATGGAAAAAGATCGCATCACTTTGTTGCTTTAGCCTGCGTTAGGCCTCATCGATCATCGTCATTAAACCATCGCCTCCACATGAACTGATTACACATACTATGCATGATTACGACTCATCGTAATTTGCATACAAAGTATATTTGATCAAAAAACGGAGAACGGACATTCAAGCGAATTTGGCTGCTCTACATTCAGGTAGAAAATCATCATTACTAAGAATATCATGATACTTTAAACATGATCTGAACCCCACTTCGTACTTAACCTAAATTTAGTAATGGATGTAACGTGGCTATGCTAGTATATACCCAGAGTTCGCAAATCTATTTACCTCTTTGGTATGAAAAAATATAATGCCCACGTAGCTTTTTTCAAAAAAATAAAATTGTTTAAAGTTTTGCTGACCGCGCGGATGCTACGACACGCAGACGTCGGAGTCGTTGCTTAACGCTATCAACGCTTATGTGGCGTATTCATGCAATGGAAGAACAATCCACGTCTTAAGCTCCACAATCTGTAATCAGTGAAGCGTCCTAGGATCTAGTCTAAGTCACCTCAGTTTTCAAATTAAGCAGAAATTTCCTACGAAAAAAAGCGCTACATAATGAAATTACCTTTCCCTCTTGATTAGGTCTGCCAAATTCACAGTTGAGCTCGTGAATCTTGCTATAACTAATTCCAAATATATCCTCCATCGAATATTTTGCCTCCAACTGAAAAATTTGGCGAAAAACTTAGCGAAAATTATATAGAAAAAAAGCTATTTTATTTTGACGGTGTACCCAGTCAAAGAAACTAACATATTTCATTGCACCGATGGCTGAAATAGAGTTAAATGAATTGTTACAGCATCGTACAGCGGCAATTGGTGAAGTAGAAATACGAAGCATTTTGAACGAAGCGTTCTTGGCCGAGTTTTACATTGAGGTTTGCCGTTTGTTCGCCGAGGGCGCCACCGTCTCAGCTCGAAGGCATGACGTCATACGTAAACAACTACTGCTCGGCTTCTGATTGGCTAGACTCTGTGACAGCGACCAATCAGAGATATCGACCGCTACAGGTCAGGCCGTTGCATCACACGCCTTAGCCAATGGATGAGCCTGGCTGTGATGCCAAGTAGCTGCTGAATAGACAGAATCAACAGCTGATCGCTGCTCAGCTCTCTGTTACAGTGACAGAACCAAGTCTAGATCCTCAGAACCTTCGCTTTGGAGCTTTAAGGAAACTGACCAGCCAGTAAGTACGATTTAGCCATTTTAATAGCAACATAATTGCAAAATACTACTGAGAAGGCCAAAAGAAACCAAATTAGTCTTGGCGTCCTTTTTGCCTATTCAGCTCATTAGAGAAAACGCGAGAGTGAGTGAGCAGTCGCCATTCAGAACCCGCTAGGCTTCAGGCGCTCGCGCTCGCAGAGCGTATGATTACACCTATAAACCTGAAAGGTATGGTCACTTGTCTATTATTTAATACATCGAAAAATTCTCTGAACGAAGGCGGGCTTAATAATCCAAAAGAATTTTCTATGCCACCACATGACTTGAACCAGCTGTAGTGCATGGCTTGTCTATGTTATATTTTGGTCCGTGTGAACATACTATGATATCGCTTGGAGTGGCTCAAGGTTCGTAACCTCTGGGCTTAGATGGTGAGACCCCTTTTATGCAGTAGGTTCTAGCAATTAATCGACTGATTTTCATGTTTTTGTCGCCAAAATCCATTTGCAAAAGATTTTCTGTTTTGTCCTTTTGTTTGACGGCGCGACGTGTTTTTCTTTCTGAAAGACCCAAATGCGCAGCGATGCGCAGTGTTGTTGTTCTTCAGGACAATCATAGAGGAGAGCTGACCCTGATTTTTTGCTCGGAGGTAGTGTCACCAGAAGCCGCAGAGAAGCCAGCAGTTAAACACCATTAATGGGCTAGAAAACAGTGCTAAGCTTCCTTCTCTAAACCGTCAGATATATTTTGTTGAAAGGATCCAAAAGTTTGTGCTTCAAGTTAGCAATAAATGTTCCGTAGGGAAACTGTTTCAAACGAAAAACGTTCACCGTTTTTCTACTTAATGTGTATTAGCGCACCTAATTGTTGCATTGCCGCTCTCTTATAATAGAAGGGTGGCATTTTTTTCATAAGAGTAGCGTTATTTATTTAAAGGTGGAATTCAAAAAGAAATTTTCCGTCGCCAAGTATTTGTGTACCAGTAGTCGCATATATGCGCAGACTTCATTCCAAATTTACCTTCCTTGCGTATTCGGAATGTTTTGCTCTACCAGCAACAGTATTACGAACGTGAGAAATTTGTGGGCGGCTTTAGCATTACGAATTGTAGGAACTAGTTTTGTTCATGGCGGGTAAACCTGACTTCTGTGTAGCAACATAAATGCAATGTAGTATGGTAGGAGAAAGCGTTTAATCCTTGGTGCTCGAATCAAGCTGATTCATGTTATTATCCTCGGAGAATTTGTCAAACATTATCCGGATTTCCAATGTTATGCTAAGACAATGTTCCAAATGCGATAATGATATGGTAGTAGTATGTATAGTTGTAACATTGCACGGAGTTGTGCTCGCTTAGTATCTGGTTTACCGTACGGCAGTTCACTAAGTTACAGAAGCAAAACAGTGGTATCTGTTAAAGCTCAGACCTAAAGACAAATCTCTGGCCAGTGTATACGAAGAGCGTTTTGTTGACTCTGTTGTGCCGTTCGTTATCATCTTCATCATCACTGTCAATGAAATAATGACCAAAATCAGGTGAGTGCATCATGTTACTTTCGTTGCCGCCCTACCTTCATATTTAATTCCCATTATATTAGAGCGCACAATAGCAGGACTTAGGGGCTCGCTTTGTTGCCGTTCCCTTGGCGACGTACCTAAGGGCGCTCCGTTTTGGTCGACTGTCGTGCAAGTGTTGCTGTGTTGGCATTCAAGCCAGCTTAGAGCCAATACGAGCCGAATACATGGGGACATCAGAGGATGAAACGAAACCCCGCTGAGGTCCCAGCCCGTCCGTCCAGGTGCGTCTATCAACTAACCAGCCACGAGTCACCAGTGCGAACAAACCAGTCACCCAGCCACCCATATACTACGAATGGAAGACACCGCTACTGCCGCTGTACATGTCGCAGGGACTATAGAAGCAGCACTAGGGCTGTTAATCGTATTGCTATTATGATATACCTACGACTAGTTTACCACCACCGCGTCCATCTGGCCGTAGAAGCTGCCAGTCTTAAGACGCTGCTGGCAGTGGCATCACGATTACTGCCGCTAGACGGACGCCGCAGACTGAGGAAGGCGGCAGTGGTGGCAATCAGTAAATGCCGTCTCTCTCGAACTTTATCGGTGAGACACTTATTATATATATGTCCCAAAAATTTATACAGGGTTTGAACGATCATAATTTCATTTTTTATTTGCATATGCTTAATATCGCAGGGAAATCTATATAAAATGTATAACTTTTCTTCCTATCGCGCATGTTCAAAATATTACCGTTCTTATGATAATGGCACTTCTCGAACGTGAAAGAGGTCTTTACACTGGTACTAACGATGAAACATTGATCCACAACTTTCAACAAACATTTCGTCTAATGCTGTGGCCCGTTTTTGTCAATTGCAGCTTTCAAGTCTTCTAGTGTTGTCGGTTTTCTGGTGTAGGCTGTTCAAGAAAGCAGGCAGGGCATTCTATAGGTCTTTTTTGTCCAGTCCACCTGCGTAAAATGTTCTTATGAAGATAGGCTCTTTACACCTATCAGAAATGAAATTTGTTATCTGCATCGTCTTCGTGGTACATCTTGCATGAGTCACTGTACAGCCAAAATAATGTAAACAGTGCACACATTTTTTGGGGCACCCTGGACATATTGTCATCCTGTGATAGGAACGGAACTACCGAGAGGTGATATTCGGCAGATGCCCCCTGTTAACTGTGTTGCGATGCGACAGCCGCGGCAACAGGCTTTGAGGCACCTGCACGTGTATGACGGCGACGGTGATGATGATGAAAGGAGGAGACAAAGAATATGATGATTGTGCCACCATTGCTGCAGGTGAAACCAATGAAAGGAAGACGGAGAGTCGATTGGGTTAGCGCAATGCAACAAGCTAAAGTTAAATCAGAGTCGTTTGGCCGCAGTCGTTGTGTCTTCAAACACGATTGGAGTCTAACATTGTCGTCGCTGTCGTGGTCGTCGTAGGGCAAAGGCCTGCCAAGGCCCTAAAAGTAGAGGCAAGCATCTACGCCCACTCTTTTTCCGTCAAGCTGAGCGGCTTGTATTATCTTGAATAGGGCGAACAGAGGATAAACAAAAACAAAGGATGCACTTCAACAATCGTAGTCAACAAATGTCTATGAACAAAATAATCAAATTATTTAGAAACAATGTCAGTAAAGGAACTGTAATGTATTCCAAAGGAGTCACAAAAGGTTATAGAAAAAGAACAAGGAGATAAAGTTGCGTAACCGCAAAAATATAAATCTTCGACATTAGTTTATATTTTAAAACGACGCTGAGGAAGTTGGCCAGTTTTCGTTTTTGTTCGTTACCAAAGACCTCTCAGATTGACAGGAAACGCTCGCGCGCATTCGAATGAAAACAGTGACGAAAAATAAAAATGAGAATGTGTTGAAAACAATGTCTGTATGGGTTACAACCTTATCTCAAGGTTTTAAGGCAAGAAACGACGGAGCCATATTTGAACCAAACAGAGCGCGAAAGATAAATATGTGCAGTTAAAAATGTTTGTAGAGACTTGTCAGATACCCGTGATGAAAATTGTGCTCGTAATGATTTTGTATTTAGAGCAGCATACAGTTATAGTTTATAGGGTGCCATCACGTTTTGGAACATGATAAGACTCAAATGGAAGCTAGAGAACTCTGTGTTGAAGTCACTAGGGAATGAAGGAAGTTATTATACGAATCTTTATCCTTTTTGATTTATTCAATAAGGAGCTTTGTAAGGGCACTTGAATCAACAATGCTAGCTTGATCTCCACGTTGTGTCTAGTAATATCTGACAAGAGAACTGCTTGTTGATGTTGGTTTCTATTTGCGAATAGAAAGATGTCAGTTGTGGCGGGGGAGATAAAAAAAACATTATATCTAATTTTCTTCATCCGTTAAAATTTATACGTATAATAATATATGTGTAGTGAATCTGTCTAGCGAGACGATTCTGCAATATGAACTCTCTGCTACGCTATGAACACCACTGCGTAAAAAAGAACTGAAAAAAGTCTTATAAAAGTGAGAGTAAACTTCGGCTGTTTGAATATCGCTGAACTGGTCTTCTTCATGTTTCAGCTTTGCATATTAGCCTCGATCACCTGGGCACCTTTGCTAGGCAAACGGCGCATTGCGATTCAATGCGTCCTCTTTTGGCAAAAGGGAAGTAGAAACAATCATAGAACAACTAACAGCAACTATAGTAATTTAATATATTACTGTGCATTTTCTAACTGGGACATGTGCTGGCCACTTGTAAAATTCACAGAAAGGGTGCACGTTTTTGCGATATTTTGACTCGATTATTGATAGAGTTAGTGTTTTTTTATAAGCGCATTTACATCTTCGAAAAACCTTGCTCATGCCTGCTTATATACAAAATATCTGCGGGCGTCATGGGCAGCAACCCTTCGATCTCTTCGACAGTTCAGACGTATTATAGACGACTCCGGAGAGAACGACCTCAATGAAAAAGTGTGAAACAAAAAAAAAAACCTAATTGAATATTGTGGTGTTTTGACATCACCCAACCGTGGCGTCAGTTTTCCCGCGAACGCAAACAGAATTGAGGTGTTTACTAATTTCGATAAGTTTTTGTCACCTTTGCGCGGAATTCACCATGACTAAACCGTGGCGATGGATTACGCTATGTCATTGAACTACGACGCCTTTGACCTATATATGTAGAACGTTTCGACTTTGCATTTTGCAGATTTCCATAGGCTATTGGGAGGGATCACCGAAATGGTTAATGTATATGCACGGATTCGTTGTATTGAACTCAGAAGTCTGGTCCTTCGTATTTCAACAACAGTGTTACATTTAATAACATCTCACTGCACATTCAACCATGAGGGTCGTAGTCAAAATAGTGGGCTGTGCAGCTGGCATAAGGACACATGCAGCATTTGATCCTTCTACTTCTTTGAAGTAATCTGACCAGAAATTTTATGCCAAAATTTTTCATGGATTCACCAGGATATGTATCTTGTATATTAAGAATATAACTAAATCCAGTTGGTTAACGTGATGCTAATTAAATATAGTTTTAAAACTAATTTGTACGTATGGACACAATTACGTTATCGGTATATTAGATCAGATTGCTTATTGTCGGCAGTCACATTCGCGTATCCAAAATATAACTATATTGTCGTACTACGCAATTAAGCTTAGGTTTAGGACGGTCAAATAGAGAGTGCATCTCAAATAAAGAAAATGCGAATATTTTTATGTTGTTTATGCTCCGTTTGATCAAACGTGCGTAATCGCGGCTCAGTTGTCTCTTTATGTACGGTATCTTGCAAAGGACTAATAGCTTTTTGCGATTTCATTGACCCATTGGAATAGAAACTATGACCATGAGGACATACAATCAACGAACAAAGTACATATATATATATATAATTTCATCACTACTAATAAAAATATACTGACATATGTATGAAATAACGCTTTCCCGGTAGGAAATAAGAATGGAGGTCATTTTATGAAAAACGTTTATCACAAAAATATTTTGACGGCATGTTTGATATAAATTTGCACGAGTGACGTACGATTTAATTTACGTCTGTTGCTATCCACTATTATTTCGCATACTTTTTTGTAACTTTCGCAAGTATTTGGCATAGGTGCAGAATAAGCATTTGCTTCTATATCATCATCTGTTAAATTTTGGCCATTGGTCTCTAACGATTGAAAACGTAATGAAACTTTTTTTTTGTATCATGAGATCACACCGGGCTCGTGAGGGCCTGTCAAGCGTGCTCACAATTGCGCCTTAGAAAATGATGACAGATCTTAGGAAATATGTTGGATGGGGAATTTCTTCCTCTGCGCAGACAAGTGAAACAGACTTAGAGGGATTGGATTAGCATCGCTACTATACTGTGTGGTAATCTCGGCCGCAAAAGCCTTCTCCAGGCTTGCTTGACGGCAGTCTTAGTGTTCTTCAGTCTGCTAACGACGCTAGCTGCGATTCTTTGCAGTACTACGCATTGCAGCGTCATTACGGTACGTTAATTCGCGTCCATCCGTCGAGTGATAATTATCTGGCGGCGAAGTTGCTTTTGTATGGGAGTGCTAATCACTCGTACAAGTAAACCTCTTGATCAGGCGATAGTTGGAAGCCGCCAGTGCTATACGTGGTTGTTCTGTGATGTGTCCGTCATGGATACGCTGTAGTAGAAGTGATGAAATAGAATAAAGCTTATATTAGTTGGGATACTTTTTAGCGTATTATTATACTGCATAATCGTGCAATACAAAGAACTACTGAGCGTCAAATTGGCGCACTACCATTCGACTCGAACCCTCAAAGTAAGGTCCATCTTCAAATCTTGTCCAAAATCGTACTGCTTTGACATTTTTGTACAATTTCAAAGCTGTGCCAGAATCGATGACGAAACAACGAAGTGGACTATGATAATGCGTGAACGAATCGTCGAGTGGCAAATGAGTTGTGTCTAATTGCGAGAGGTGCTTGTGGGATATGTACTGCTTGAATTAAAGGTGTCGCCATCAATCAGTAGGCTTGACTGATAGGGCAACTGTTGCTGGTAATATGCCGCTAGGCCGAGTCATCATCCACCTGTTCTTAAGTAGACCATCTATTAGAACCTACTGACGCGCGCCTTCTAACGATCCATCCAATTGGCAATTGCTTTGTTACGCGTATGATTTAGATGCTTTTCAAACAACACTAGACAATGGTAGTAAGTGTCTTATTATATTATTAACGCTCATCCAAAATAAGCATCCATGTATGTACACAATGCCGTGGCGTGGGTTTACGAATCGATATTTCGCCAATTGCACCACAGTGTACGAATAATCTTTTCGTTGTCCACCCTGCGTATGCCAGTGTACGGAACAGTGCTCTACCTCTTCACAACGGCAAAATCTACTGCCTGCAAATATGACGTTTAGGTGTATTCGCCTAGCTAATGACGTAGTTCCTAAACAGGAAAACTGGAAATCATAAAAATCGTTCCGTCTCGCTCGGCTGTCAGCTGTTGAATAGTTCGATTGTGTTCTTATTGGCTGTTGTGTAATTGTTACTATTAAAAGGATATATTTATTTTCTTTAAGATTACTTGATTCTATTGCCGCTATTGTTCGCTGCCATAGCCATTTTAGGTGTAGTTATTCAGCTACTAGCTGGAAAATCGTGGGGAAAAAAACAGTTTCTATACCGACGTAGCACCGCAGTAGCGCACCGAGATACGACAATGACGATTGGCTTTTTTATATACACGTGGTATAGATACACCATATGGAGGCTTCGCTCCACGCCTGTTTTTCCACCGAGCACATTGTTTTACCTGTCCAAAAGTACGCGGCCAATTATGTCTATAACAGAGATAAGTTCGATCACGGGTTATCTGTCTTCTAGTAACCATGACCCGAGCGTATTTCCAAAGTTACGGTTAAAGGCAGTTTGTCGAGTGGCACAAGTTAAGCCCATTTGTTCAGGTAACCCAACTCCCATCATGTGACATATCAACGAGGACGATTCTGGTGGCCTCCTTGTTAGTGCTTGTTAACGGTAGTACAACGTTGTTTTCAAACCTAGAAAACTAGAACAGTTTAAATTAACATGACGTTCCATTGGAAAAAGCATATTTTTTTTTATCTAAGGGGTAAAATATTTAGTCAGTCGGCTCCAACTTACTTGCACATCTTTTTAGAATCAAACTTTAGAGACCCAGAAAATGGGTCCAAGCCTACCACTTTAAGGAATCGTTCTAGGTGGAACAAAGAAGGAAGAATTTTAATAGGCTAGACAGATAGTACAAATCGGAACCAAGCTTCATGTCGCAAATGTGCTGCGTATTTCCGCGTTATTGATGTTATATTTCTTGCTATTCGGTACCCTCGGAAAAACATATAAATATACTATTCGTAAAAATTGTGTGCATGTTTCTGTGTGATTGCACGGCAGAACGGCTGCTGCTTCTTCTAAGCAAAAACATTATGATTTCAGTTAGGTGTCAATCCTACTGTTTTCCTAGCGGTTATGATGACGCTGCTGCGTCTGCAAGTGCGCCTGTGTTATCGTATAGTCACAATAATCATTTGTCCTTATGTGTAGGACCTTGGAATTCTGGAACTTCTAGCTCCTTCTGTTGTTTCTCTCCTTCTCTGTTCGACTTCCGAAGGCGAACTGTCGTACGAAATTCACGTCCTATATAATAGTACTACTATTAAACCATTATAAAAAATTAAACTATTTCTTGCCTCTAGTGAAAGAAAGATGGCCATCGTTACAACGCCTCCTCTAGTTTACCCTTTTTTCAATTCAGTTAGATGTGTAATATAATAAGCAACGGAATATATTTCGTTGAGCGCGCTAACTGCTAGTCATCTTATTGTACGCCGTAACTACCATGGCAAATCTGTACCAACTGGAAACGTCTGGAGGTAAGTATGGTTCGATATAAGTATTTACTGCACCATCTTCAAAATGTGAGCCTCACAGCCTTTCAAAGGGTTATCACTGCCATAATCATAAAGACACCGCTGTTGCTGGTATTGACGACGACGAAGACGGCGATAATCATAGTGATATAATAACAATGTTAGCAGTTTCACGCGACGGAAATAGACACGGATGTTTTTATAAACAATATACCGTTCTATGGCTGTTAATACTCGTGCCTTAGTAATACTAACGATAAAGGAGGCGGGTTACTTAGCGAAACTGTTAAGTGACTGAATTAACCTTTGATAAAAGGACGCAATCCACAAAGCAACGAGAGTAATACAGCAAGAACGGTTTAGTCCGACCTTGATTAAAGCAGCAAATGGACAGTTTCTTATTGGTGCTTCTCTTTTATATCTACAACTGAAACGGCATGTGCCGCTAATTCTTTTCAAAGAAAACAGGACGTCTCGTTTATAAACTTAAGCTTGTTTTTGATCCCGAGTTATGTATAATCTACTTGTAATGTACGTCTCAGTCAAAAAAAAACCATGATCAATAAGATATACAAGAAGGACATTTTAATGAGAAACAGACTTTTCCGGAAGACAATAGCAAAGCAGCGGAATATTTGGTCGGTTTATAAAGATATTTGTATAATGTAGATATAAATATTCTAGGTTTATTTTTAGGGTTGTATACGAGTGACGATAGAAGCGTGGATTTAAATTTTACTCTGATCAGAGGTCAAAGGTTGTATGTGTCCTAGCGTAATACATTTTCGAGCCTTTTTAGTCTGATCTTTGTTGTGGATCTTCCCTTTGTCTTATAGTAATCTTCCGTTGGGTTTTTTGGAAGGCCCATAGAAATTAGAAAAACTTTTTAAGTAATCTAGAAGATTTATAATTTTAATAGAAGTTCGTCTGACGTAAGGACATCACGAGCCCTCATTAGTGTTCAAGACATGAACCTCCCGTTCCTGCCAAACGTGGCTTTGTTCTAGAGGAAGCTGGCTCTATTTCGTGCTGAGAGGCGCCAATAGATATATGCTCGATGTGACAAAAAGCTTACTTCAACTCAATGTGTATTCTAAATTTTGAAAATTCATCCACTTGGTGGCCGATATTCAGCGCCAGGATTTGTATCTAAAACATAACGATGGAACAAACACCTGTATACGTAATAAATAGTTAAGTTTCAAACAAATACATATCACTGATACGTTAAGCTCCACGCACATCTGTTTTAGTGAAGAATAGACTGACTGAGAAGATGCTCAACTACAGATCAGTTATTTGTTGTTTTTGCAAAGAATGACGTCATTAGTAAAACAGAAGTCCTACTTAACTATTATCTTGAACTTGATTAAAACTTAATACAAATACTTAAACTAAGGGTATTCACCTTTACTCGGTGGACCTGTTTGAATTAAAGAGGACTCTGTCAATCAACTATTCGATTTAAGCATCGTCTATATGGGCATCGTTTCAGAATTTGCTCTGCTACAACGTTCTTGAAGCGGCTTCGCTAACAAGCCTGTTGTTGTTGATCTGTACTGAGCGGTTTATACATTTTGTCTCGAAGATCAGTTCTGCTGAAACGCAAACTGCGGATACACACTACACCCTCTGACCGTCGTTGCTAGGAAGAAAGGCTCGGAAGGTCGCAACAAGGACTCATGTACGCGAAAACCACTACTTCCTTGGCGTAATAGAAGCAAGTCTAAGCTAATTGAAACCGACCAGGCTGTGTATCGTTGTCCTTTGGCCTCGACAAAGGCAATGCACGGAACTAGATATTATTAGTTAGTACGCGTATCCAAACTTTATGTAGTTGTGTTAGAGTGAGAGTAACTGTAGGTAGGATAGCGGTGATAAATTTGTATTATTATATTAACGTTACATAAACAACAGTAAAACAATCAACAATCAATGAAATTTTGCTTAGAAACGAGATGAATTCGTAATAAATTTTTGCTGTTCTCTAAAGCATGAGCGGGTATATGAAGCTCTATATTATTGGTTAAGATTCATTTACAATTTAAGATGACTGCCTCATCTTTTTCGTTTTTTTGGTGAAAAGTAGAGTTGGTAATTCTTTTGAAAGGCCAAATACATGTGAGAACTCCTTAACTGCATGCACATTTCTCGGTACTGCGCGTATCGGTTTATTCGCCTCTGGCATCTGAGTTAGCGTCTTTGCCCTTTTTCTCAGCCTGTTGTCGTCCTCTACGGTTGCGTATCTGTGCATCTGCTTTCCCTTATCACCAGTAGAAGCGACGAAAGCAGCGGTAACTCTAATTCACCGGGTACATACAGCGCCTTACGAACTTTGGTGTGCGTGTGTGCACATATTTTTCTCACATCGAAAAGCCTGTAGAACTTCTCACAGCTGCGTTATAGAAAAAAAATAATGCAGTGCGAAAATTCACGCTGCTGCCATACAATGGAGGGGAACGGAGAACGTATGCTCAGCACGGTTGCGTAACTTCATTAGCACAAATTTATATAATTTATAATTATATAAGAGCTGGAAGGGGCGTAATTTATGTCGCCTATCATGGGGGCAGCCGTATCGCAATGAATAGCGGCCAAAAAATAAATCAGTCGATTTATCACGAAACAGTTGATTATTACCCAATTCAGTCAGCTGGCTCTCTAAAAGCGCTCGCAAGTGAAAGTCGGCGACATCCTTCTCCATATATATACAAAAAACACTGAGACAGGCATCTTTAACAGTTGTTGTTAATGTGTTCTTATCGAGTAAACCAAATAAGTAATCATTCAAACTATCACAGATATAAATAGCTTGTTCGAGGTCAGCAGTTTTATTGCCGTTGACTTGTATGTAAGGTCGATCAGGCATTTCGGCGCTTTCGTAGATGCGACTCTCTGCATTCGTCCCCAAAAAGGCTACTTCTGAATGAACACAGTATGGCCTAGTTAGCGCAACTAGGCTTTCTAGCTGCCCTGATTAGGCATGGAGTACGTACATTAAAACGTACTATGTCTGGCGCTTAGTATAACTGCTCCATCAGTAAAATGCCTTTAAAGATTTTTCTGTGCTACCATACTTTGTTAAGAAAATAGTGTATGCGGAGCATCATCGTCACACAATCGGACATCACCGCATCGATTGTTCGAAAAGCTTACTCACACCCATTTGATTCTTGGTCAGGTCTGTTTTTGATCGATCGAATGGTTGAACATGTCGCCATTGGTACTGCTCATGGCATCTGACGATGGCTTTATTTGCCCCTACGCTGTCGGATGTATGTTCAAGTCTCTAATGCCAGTAGACACTAGAGTGGCAAGATCTACTAACGCAATTGCCAAGTCTCGCCTGCCCTTCACATACACACGGGGAGAATCGCCGACCGCTAAACGAAGTCTCCTTCTGGAAGGTTGTCCTTTCATGAAGATATTGGAAAGGCGCCGAGCTGAAAAAATATTTTGATGCATACGATTAAACCACAAGCCACAGTTTTTTTTGTTGTGTTCGCCTAACAGACTAAAACTAGATAGACACACAAGATTTCTTGCCAGAATTGCCGGCACCTTTTCTGTTTGAATAATCAAATTATCTCAGGGCTATGAATGAGTGTTTTGGTGAAATAATATATTATGAAATAATTAAGAACGGACTGAAGGTCATAAGAATAGTCCCGTTCAATTTTCTGTAATCCTTTAGCGGGTCTTCCTGTTTAACGGGTTACAACAACGAGTGAAGTACTGTGTACAAAGTGCATTCACATGATTGAACGTCTGCGTCCGTTCCAAGTTGTAAATAATTTTCTTAAATTTATCTCAACATTAGTTAAACATAAGTTCAGGTGGATGCCTCTCTCTTAGCAGCTAATACACTGATCAAATGAGTATCGAGTGTCTTTGTGCGGCCAGTCAATGTCGTTGTCTTAGTTACCCGGGGCCAGGCTACTACATAAAGACCATTCTTATTCTTAGTTGTCTTGCCAAATCAAGCAGCAATAGTACCTTCTCGGTGTGCACTTACATTGTTGTCGCCATTGGAAGATGGACAATATTTTCATAGTCCACACCTGAACGGCAGCGGTAATAGCGTTAGGTCTTAATGCAACTGTGAAAAATACCTTTAGTTCGCGTGTCTGTCTGTATGTATGTTCGTTTGAGGAACACCGAGCAGTGCCTGTACGACATTAACATCCTGTTAAGATTACGACACCTTTTTACGAAAGTTAGATTTTAGACAATCAGCAATTTACACTGACGTAATTTCGAATAGCCATTATAACATCAAGCAAGGTTAAAAGTAACTGAGAACGAGACTAATTAGTTTCAGCAGGTTTTGTTGTTGGCGCTGTGGTCGATGCTAATAGGGCGGCATCAGCCGTACTTTGTGCTGGGTCGACATCGCTTTGCCCGGCCATATCGAGTCCTAGGACGTGCGGTTTAGCTCGAGCTCAGCAGCGTATGATTATAAACATTCTGTTCTAAGTAGGTAGTGTTGCTTTCGATAATATCTCGATCGCGGTAAATGCTCTGCTTCAAATACCTGCTGCAATGCAATGCAAGGGTTAGATTCGCAGCGCTAGAAGCATAAGCAGTGTTGGTGAACAATCATCTACGTGGCTATTTGATTGTCTCTATTAGGTCCGCTGGTGGCAGCACAGACAGCTTATCTGTTAAACAGTTAAATTGCATTTACTACTACCGATATCTCATTCATATTCTCGATGTGAGTCGCATATTTGCTTCTGAAGCACCAAACAATACTAAAAAGTTCTCATTTGTCATTATCTAGACATCGCTGATAGAGCGATTAAACATCCGTCGCTAATCTGTATGCCCACAGGCTCGGTAACTAAAGCAGGAACTACTTGCTCACTCGAGATACAGTAGATCAAGTGAGCAGGTAGGTAGCTCTACAGTACGCATAGGAAAAGATGGCCGGCTGCGCGAAATCGGTAGCACCAGACCTTAAAACGAAGCCATGTTGCCATTATGTGTAAAAGGACGGATACTGGTATGGCGGTTTACGTTGCTAACGCCTTTGCTATTCGAGCTGGCGTCGAGCCGTCTGTCACTTCATTCCGCAGTCTCTTCAAGTGAGAGTTAGGCAGCGACATTGAGTGAAAATACGGAGAGACCCAACTACCTACACGCAGTTGCATCGCGCGACATTAGTGCTGCTTATTTCATAAGTTGACTTCATCTGTCGGAAGCTGCTGCTGGTAATGGCTGGCGTTGACCTTCTCATCCTCTTAAGAACGGTAGTGTGTGGCGCATTCTCACCAAAAAGACATCTTTCTCTCATTCGCGGACCCTCGCACGCTGCTGTGGAATTGCGGATGACAGCATTACAGTACTAAGGCCACTGCGGTGACGACTCGTCGTCAGGTTTACGGGAAGTCTACATTAACAAGTAGACGACTGGTTTTATCTCGATACAAACCAGTCAAATTGAGGTAGGAACAACTGTTAGTGTCTGTGAATCCATCGACATTCATGTGTTCATTCATGTTCTCCTATGTTGCCATTGTAATGCAATATTCTAGACATTATGTTGTAAAATGCTATCGGTGTAATCAAAGAAAATTATCACCTTCGTTGTCCTTTTCAACTCCGGCCTGTGGCGTGTCAGACGAACTGTGACATTCGAAGGCAGTACACTCGAACAGAGCAACAGCGAAGGATGTAATGTACGCCGACCGTCGGTGTCCCGTGGTGCAATATTTTGACACCTACCATTTACTATGTCCTTTTTAAAGAAGCTTAGAGTAAATTGTTTTTATATTGTTGTCGGACTACTCTAAAAACTGCCAACTAGTACCTGTGGTAATTAGCCTAGTAATCATCGACAAATTCGATACATAGATAGTAAGTGTCGAGACATTAACAGGCGGTCCCTAACTGTAGCGTTTCAGAGAAAAATCATGGAACAATCAAATCTCATTTGAACATAAAGATAATTTTTTTCATTATTTAAAAATAACGATAATAAGCAATAATATCGATCCTATTATTAGCAGATGTATCTGGTTAGATATCTCAGATATTTTTGTTTATAATATGTTACGAGACTGCTTCTTATTTACAAAAATTGGAAAACCAATTGGCAATCAAGTAAACCGTGTGAACGGCGTCTGCGGATTTTCTGCCGAAGTTAATGATCAAGGATGCTTTATTACACGCTATTATTTTTTTGTGACATTTTGCTGCCGTCGACGGATCCGATATATGTGTAACGCATGTACTGTTCGTTGATTTAACCCAGATCAGCCTACCTGTCGAGATGCTGAGCAACCTAGCTTCGTACCTGATGGGCGGCGGTTCAGCGGTGCCTGCTGCTGCTGCTGCTGCTGCTGTTGGCGGCCCCTCCCCGACGCCCTCTACAGTGCCCACAGAAGTAGCGCAAGGTACGGTGATCGCCCTTCAAGAACTGCGGTGCACCGAAGAAGAGGACTGGCTTCTCGTTGATCCCGATGCCATCTCCAGTAACAATTGGTCCGGTCATAGCGGCCGCTGCTCGAAGGGAATAGCAAATGGTTGTTTCTCGGGCAGCATCGTTATGGAAGGAGGTCTGTTTTGCTTGAACTCGCCTTGATTTGTCTTTTGCAGCAATGATTAGATAGCAAAAAATATAGGACCTAAAATGGGACAGAAGGAAGGAAGCTGGTTCTTTGTCTCCCGCTGGTTTTTCCTGTCGCCTCTTTGTGATATTTTTGTGATCAGTCTTACATGAGTCACCACTTATGCCAAATTTCATATGTAAATTTCGTAGTAGTGCCCTTTTCTAGTACGTTTATTGTGAAATGTAACCGGGTTTGGTTGAAATTAAGCAGTCTTTGTTTGTGTTTATTGTTGGCACACATTCGGCTTCCGCGAACAGAGGTGCCATCCGGTAGTCAACGTGGCACTGCCCCAATCTCTATTAAGCGACGAAGTGGAAGTCGTTGCTGGCTGTCGTTCAATGAGACGAAAGGAGACGTGGCCAGAAACGAAGTGGATCACGCTGATGACGATCAAGGTGGTGCTAATCGAATCACAGGCCAAAACAGGAGCCGCAGCAGGGATAACTGCGATAGCAGTAGCAACATCAGCGGTAGTGGACAAGGCGGCCACCAAATGGAGCAGAGGGGCTGCAGCGGCAGCGGTGGCAACAGTGAAAGTGGAGAAGGAGGAAACCCGAAGGGCAGCGAGGACGACAGCGAGAATTGCGCGCCCTCTTCCGGATTGGAAGAAAGTTGGTACGTGGCGCCATCGGCATGCATAGCTCGCAGGTGAGCCATCCATGGATCTAGCTATTCTTAGTTCCTAGACTCTAAAACCACAAAACAAACGACAGGGACTGGTTACTAGGACGGCAGTCACGCCGCATGAAGCCGTAGAACATACGTAAGAAAAAAAATAGGACTTTCACCAAGTAATTTGACCTGTCGTGGTCAAAAGATATATATTTTCATTTCGCCTAACATATCAAGTTTTGCTTCGACCACAAATCTTTAGTTCCGATTTAGCTGCAAGAAAACGTCCAGCACTAATATTTTGTACTTGCAAAGCATCGAACGGCGCTATTACTTACTATATCAACAGCTGGAACATCCGTTATCGTTTACATGATCGGCGTACATTGTTGTAGGCCAGGATGCAAAATTTGAAATTTTACTGTGCTCTACAGAGTAGCTCTTTAGTAACCTCCTGGTCATGGTGAAATTGTATGGATGCAGTGCAGTACCTCTTCTTGCCCGGTGCATCAGTCCAACAATGCTTGGTCAACATTATAACGTGATGGCAATGATAATGTCGTGATTTCAGGCGACCCGTAAAACTGGCAACTTCTCCTCTCGAGAACTTGCTAATCGAGCATCCATCCATGAGCGTCTATCATCATTCGCTCTTAGAGGATGCCATGCAGTCACCGTCGATTTCTTCGAGCCCAGTAACGATTGAAAAAGCTGACGAAGACGACGAGCCATCCGTAGACGAGGAGATGGTGGAGATGGTGGGTCAAATGCGGCCCTGTGGTGGTAAACGGGCACGCCAACGAAGTCGTCGAAAGCAAGACTTCTTTGTTCCGTACACAGTGACTCCTACTATACCCCATCTAAAGAGCCAGAAGGTACAAAACTGCATTATAGATATAGGTAGATGGCATACGCAAATTAATGCCATTAACAAAGCAATATTATTATATTAGGGTGTCTAATGTTATTAACATTATTATCAATAGCGTTACTGTTCGCGCTCGAAGCAAATATTTGACCGAAAACAATGAAAAACAAAACGTTATATGTCTCATGATAATTTTTATCATTGCGTTAGTTCTTTCTTGCACACGTAACGGGATGTATCAGAGCTAAGTATGAATTTGTAAAAGCTGCATTACTCATGTGAATGCTGATGATGTGAAGATTAGTTCTTCTTTATTTCGTCTAGACTAAGTTATCCTTGACTCTCATGTATGGTCTGTATAGTTAACAGGATTGACTCTTTATTTCAAGACCATACGGTGAGTAAAGGGCTGTCTTGCTGTATGTCTTCGTAGGTTTCGCTCGAAGCAGCCATGTTGGGCGGTCGAGTTTCACAGAAGAAAGACAGAACGAACCGCACTCAGCTCGATCGTCTAAATAAGTGTCGAGCATCATCCGGTCAAAAGAAGTTGCGACGAAGTGACCGTCAGAATTCAAATAAAAATTCGTTTGCTAACAACAATCGTCGGTCGAGCTACCAAAGGATGTGCTAAGACGAACACATGTCTTCTGCTCTGCGACAGTCTAGTATTGGATTTCTTGGAAAACTTTATTCGACTGTACAGTTCTGCGGGCAGCTGTTGAATCGCAGTCAAAACAAACATTAGTCGCTCCCCGTAGCAGCGAATTGCACGACGTCCGACTAGCGTGAAGCGACTCACGAAAGGAATGAATCACACATATAGGCACGACGGCCGGCGCAAACGTTTTAGTTGTTCATCCTTGCGTCGACTTACTAGCAGGAATCGACTGATCTACAGACAAAACAAAATTCTCATTTGTTGGAGATCGCATCTTTTAAGGTTGAGAAGCTAACGCCATCAGAGGCGATCCTAGCAAATGTAATGGACGGGGTGAAACTGGAGATCTTCTCACTTGGCACAAGGTTTCCGAGGCGAGAAATCGGTACGACAGAACGATTATAAGAACGGACGTGTGAGGCGTAGTATAACAACAATACCTCCAACTATAAGCTAAAGACATCGACCTTGAAGGTTTAAAAACAACCGAAAGCTTCGAAATATAGAAGCTTCGAACGGCAACGACTGAGGCAAGTCGCGGATGCGAGCTAAGGGATTTGATGATTGTGCTCTTACGTCGGTCATGTGTTACCGATCATGTTTCAGTAAAAAAAAAAAAACAAAAGAAAATCGATGTTGAAGTAAAAAAACGCAAAATGAAGTTGATTAAGAAATCACTAAGGAACAGCGTACTAGAATTATGATGACAAAGATGATGATCACTGCTATTGTTAGTTGATTGAATTAAGGAATGAATCTTACAAAAAAAAAAATAATGACGAGTAATTCATTATTATCGTAGTAGAACTATGAAAATGATTGATTAAAAGAACAATAGGATGAAGAATAATGAGTAGAGTTTAAGGGTTAAAATGTCCGATGGTGGTAAATGGGGCAGGGGGTCGTTTTCGTGTAAACTGCCATTACTCGAGCAATGTTTAGATTTAATTAGAGCTGTGAATGAGACAAGCAAATGAGTAGAGCTTTTGATTCCTTTAAAACTTGTTATCACCCTCTTTGCTACTGAAAATGACAACGAAGAACAGGAAAACGCTCCGTGATAGGCCATTGGGTTATTGCGTGAGTTGTTTGCAATAACAACTGTTTGTCAGAGGGTCGGCAAAAATGTGGACAGATGGGCTGATGACTCCTAACTACAACGGTGTCACCACTATCGTCATTTAAATAGTGATGACGATGATCACGAGGAAAATAAATTAATAATAATCCGAAAAGATAGTAAAAGCTATCGGTCAGACCGTATGCAAATAAATTAAAATGGGAAGCAGCAAAGGTCATATTGAGATACGAAACACAAAAGTAGCATAAAACTATGAACCTCACACAAAGATACAAAAAGGTTCGTCTTAAACAAACATGAAAAGAATTGTAACCGAAGCCGAAATGTGTGATTATCGATTCACAGATAATTACCAATTATAATTATTACAATGATATTATTTCTATCGTACACCGCGGCATCGGGTGCAGATATTAGAAGTTATATTCAGTCACTATCCGAACTTATTATTTAGTTTTATGTGATCGTAATTTCTCGATTCAAGTTCTTGGTAAGAGATTGAAAGGAAAAAAGCATATGACAATAATTTGATTTATTATTATAGATTAAAATAGTATATCTCTACATTAGAGTGGTGTACATTTGCTATCAGCAACTACTACAAGAGTCAACATAAACTTCATTTACTTTTAAACTATTTGTTCGCATCTATATTTTTTGTGACATGGAAATGTAGCTAAGTTTTCCATTAAAAAGTGGCACACCAATGATACATAGGCGGTAGTGCGGTTGAGGTTCGTAAAAACGAATCTATAGATATGAAAAAGTCGACGGAGCGACTTGATATCGCAAGAACCACAGACTCCAAAGAAAAAGCTCCCCGATTTTCCTAGAAATTCTCCGGAAATATTATACATAGCTATCTATATACAAATATATATATATATATATATTATACAAAATGGCAAATAAAAGTGTACATAATCTGTAAAATCTCTATGCAGTTGAAAAGCAGGCACCATAATCATTTACTGGTGAATAGATACAAAAAAATGTGATAAAAACTGTAAAAATGTCATAAAAACTCATAAAAACTACCGATGTCAATTAAAATGACTCTATA